AAATAGGTAAATCAAATCTTACTCTATCAATGCGGCCACCCTGACAGAATTGTTAAAGACACGTTTCGACTATAAAGGCGGTTTCCCTGGAGAAAATGGGAATACAGAAATTGTGCTACTCAAAAACTGGATTATGATTATCAAAATCAAATAATGTGAATTATAGTTACAAAACATCAAGTTATACAACACATTGTTAGATACGTTGTGAAAAATATCGTAGAACCCTGACTGTGGCTATAAACCAGATATGACAACAAAGCATCTAATTGGGAGATCGGGGATTTTGGGCATGGAACAACTTTAATTTTGTGGCGCATGGAACAATATATTATATATATATATTAATACTTCGAATGCTGTGTTTTTAGAGTACATTTTAAAAATTACCAACAATAGCAAAATATATATACGATATATACATATTTCTCACTGCTTTTTAACCGGGTATTTGAACTCACACTGTCTTGCTATGTTTTGGGTCATTTCACTAGATCTAACAAGCGCCTTTATCCACTGTGCCATGTGTCCTTGAGGACATCTGTTTATGAATTTTGGGTATTTAAACCTAATATCTCAGAAATCCTTTTTTATCAGTGCTAATATTGCAATTTTTTGCTGTTATCATTACATGTTTTTACTAGAGCTCATATTGCAATTTTAGTTGTTGTTATCGCTTTTCTCTGGCACTCCTTATTACTGGTTCCCATATTGTATTCATTTCTATGCTTGGTCGGTGCCTAGTGTTGGGTTGCTCATAGATATTTTCTTCTGTGTTAACAGAGTTCTATGTTGGATCTGAAGAGACGTTCGCAGCCATCGCATGCTAAGGTTAGAGGCTTCAGGAGATGGAGTGACCTGGCTTTTCTTTTGGCTATCTTCATCTCTTCTATTTATTTTCTTGCGTTTTTGAAGGATGTTGTATTTTGGTCGTCTGCTCTTCCCCAGTCGTTTTTTTTTTCTTTTTTCTTCAGCTTCCGTCTCCCAATTGACCGGGTCGATTACTCTCTCCAGTAAAATGATTTTTTTTTTACGGGGTTAAATCCATTTAAATTCTACCATCAAAGTAATATGCACCCCCAATAAAACACAGGAAAGAATTAAATATGCATCCTGTAGTCTTCTCAGCATGCCTCATAACGAAGACACAACATATCTGATCCGCTATGGCGACCCTTCATCCTAAAATTCTCATATTTAAGGCTATTAGTTTATTATTCCTTATTCCATTTCAGCCACGCCATATTGTTTCCTTTTTATTTTCTATCATTTCACCCCAAACAAGGCAATAAAGCCTCTAAGATACAAGGAGTTACTGATTATGAAAGAATATGAAAAAAAAAAGAGAAAACATTAAGGACAATGAACAATAAAAGAACAGGAATTAAATAGAAAAGACATAACGATTTACATTTCATTTACATTTTTTTGAGATCAAATTTGACTAAAAAGGGAGAAAGCGAAAGTGGATCCGACCAGCATGAAATGAAAGCGAAGAAACTGTTAGCCTAGAACATATGGTTCCATCCATGTCTACTTTAAGATGATGAGATCTTGCAGCAGTCTAGCATGCTCCTCTTGCAGTAAGCTTAAATCCATATAGTACTGGTAACAAAGAGGAAACCTCATCAGAACAATTCAGGTAGTTAGTTAAGTGCCTTACGTGATCATGTCTCTTTTGATCCATGCCTGACTAGACGGAGATTTTCCCGCAATAGGTAGTTATTTGTTGCTGTGGTAGACTGATTGCCAACCAAGGCTATAGGTCCCAGCTTGTCCTGCTATCCAACCAACATCTTGAGGAAGAAGAGATGTATCCATACCTTTCCCAAGGGTACTCGCGTCTAATCCAATCTAATTGCGTATGAATTTCTGGGACGAGGAGTAATCATTATTTATATGATTCAATTGCTGAATATTTTCTTCAGTTCTGTTGTTGTAATAAAAAAGTTTTACAATCAGACCTTCATGAAGGTCGAAACGTTGTGATAACAACAAGAAAGATGAGGACAGTAGTCTGTATATAAATAAAATATAGAATAAATAAAGCCGTGTGGATTTATCAGTGATAATTGAGTACTGATAAATGATTAGGCTTTCAGGTATATATCAAGAGCTATCTAATCTACCGGCAATATGAATTCTATACAGGCTTTAATCCCAATAGTAAAGTAATATGTAAGTGAATGTACCAAACCCAACTGGAATTTGAATTAATATTTCTAGAAAAGGCACATCGAAGTTACGTTGTGGCGGAGAATGACTGAAGCCGTTAATGACGAATGGAGTTGGTGGCTAAAAAAACAAGATGGCAATAATAAAATTAAATATGGAGGATCAAATCCATAGGAGTAAACACTGATTTCAGAAAACTGAAAACCTAGAGAATTTAATGGGAAACTATCGACTATCTTTCTCCAAAAAAATATGGCAGACGACATTTAATAAATTAAAGGAGTCTGTGGAGGTCCATTTCCGACTACACCCTGAAGGGAGATGATATTTCAAAACATCAACAGAATTAATAGTTTTAAATTGTTTCAATTTTTAAGTGACGTGTTGCCATTAGGTTTTATATTATTTAATTTATTTGATTTCATTTTTATCTTAGTTTTTGCTGTTAAGTTCAGCTCTGAATTTAATTTTAAAAAAGCTATAGGAGAAAATATAGCATGCGACAACTTATAGGACAATTCGAGTGCGTTTTTGCGTTTATGGCAATGTGGTAATTGTTAGAGGCTCGAAAAGTAAAAAAAAAACCCGCGAACAAGATTGGATTCGTTGTATTTACTCTCATACAAATAACTTTGGAGATGGTATGAATTAATCTCTTCTCACCATAGCCATGAATCAAACAGTTGGGTAAGCTTGGATTCTTCCATCCTAGGCGGAGGCCAACTCTGAATTCAAGACCAAACCACCGGAAGTTGTTTAAAGATAGTTATATATGACGTGCATTTACCATGTTTGTAAATGAATAAATTTAGCAAATGTAACATGTGTTGTGATGTCAGGCAGGAATTCTACCTCCGTACCGAGTGACGAATAACCTATTACTCGTTACTCAAAAGCCCATTTTGCTTTTGTCAATACAAAAAGAATACCTTAGATGATTTATCTGGAGAAGGCTTGTTCAGGCTGCACTTAAATAATGGAGCCTCGGGAAAACGTTTGTTATTCCGACTATAATTACCAATATTTACACTAATCAAAAGTAATGTTAGAAATTGTTATTTATCGAATAAATTAAAAATAAATTAGAGCAATTACGTTGTTGTAGAGTAGTTTTTACAGTGGAGGCTTGTATTTGACTAAGTCGGTCCTAAATTAGGTTCGACGTACAAAACGTTAGGAACTTGAAATAATAGTTAATGACGCAGCAATCTAGTTGTGGGGCTCATACTTTAATGTCCGACATCGACTGACTCACACAACTCACTCAGCTTCACTGGCGACTGCTACTACTACTACTTATTATCTGTGGGAGAGTCTATTTACAATAGAAATAGGTACGTTCCGGTATAACATACGTCTACTAAATCGAGTAGTGGTCAAACAGCGGTTCAACCTTTTTTGAGTCATGGAACACTTTAGGCAAGGATCCCTTGAGGCACAGACCCAACAAGAACTATTCCTTTATAGGCAGATAGACAGACAAGAAGATACTCACAGTCGGATTGCTTGTTTTTTTTGTTTTTTCAGAACACCCTTACGTACATTTCTCCATACTGCGCCGAGTGATGACTAACTTAGTCGTAGCTCAAAAGTCGATTTTGCTTACGTCAATACAATATATCCTGGTGACTGTGTGTGCATACTGCACGCACACTCACCAGGATATGAGATGATAATCAAGCCTTAGCAAACAGGGGAAATCCGAATTATCACTTACTCTTATGGAGTGGTAAAAGATGGCGGTTATACTGCGAATGATAGCTCAAGTTTAAATGGTAAAAAACTGACCCAACATCAAATGAAGAGACGCTTAGCGGTCGGCATTGTTAGTAGTGGCTAGTTGCGATTTCTTTCACGAAGTGGAAGGATGCCTTTTCATTATTTCTTTCAAAGGGAAACCGTTGATTGGAACAAGGGATTTATAGCGAATATAAATGTTAATTTTTATCTGATCCTAACTGAACCACTGAAACCCTTCCATGATACTCCTAGGGATCCATGAACCCTTCTAAAAATAGAACTAATGACTACATGGTTAAAAAATTGGACAGTTAGAGAAATCTAATATATAATAATTATTTAATTTATTTATATTTTTGCGCTCGGGCTTTATAGTGGGAATGCAGATAAATCAAGTTAACATGG